AAGCTTTTTTGAGTTATGCCCCTTCATAACTTATTGAAAGTTGTTGCCCTTAACAGAGGAGCGTTAAGGCCACATACAGTGTACTAGTTTTTTCTAATTATTATACAAACCGGTGACAATATTTCCACTAATCTAGCCAGGGGAGATAACAGCTTGTTGTTTAAAGTTGTCAGCTGTAGCCAGGAATAAGGAAATTTAGCAAGGAACATTCTCTCCCCTTTCACTTGCTATAAACAACCCCACCAAGAATTTAGAGTTATTATCTGTGTGCAGGAATCCATTTTGCATACAGAAGGTCGATGATTCTACTTTGGTGCTGGTTTGTGCCAAATATAATTGTTCTAAGAGGGACCCGAGCTCTCACTCCTACAGGAGAGCAGGACAATCAACATAATATTATGTCTTTCACAGTGTTGGTATGACTTAAAGGCACATTGTACCTAAAAAAGAAAGAATTATTGGCTAGTAAAAAAAAAACTTTTGAGAAACTTTAAAAAGTTTTGAAAAATAACAATAAATTATTTTCTGGGGCATAATGGGCCTTTAAAAGGAGATGAAAATGTTAAAAAAGGTACCAAAAGTGATCAAATTTATTTACAAGTCATTTGATAGATGGAATACTTAAATGGTATCTTTCCTTTATTTATTTCAGGCAATGACATTCTACTGGTGTGTTTCAGGATTGACAGCCTTAATTTGTAGACTATCATTTATTCATCCCAAGTTTCAAAAAAGGTTACACCCAAAGAGTCTACATACAGCTGTTTATGATGAAAATCCCTATAGAACTATATTTACTAATATGAAGAGAAGATATAACCCTAAATTATGGTTTACATGATGTGATGATTGTACAAAATAAACATTTTTTTAAGTTTGCCTTGTGTCTGTAGTTGAATACACCTTACATTAAGGTTGTGTACAATTTTGAATACACATTGTAGAGAGGTTGTGTACAATTTTGAATACACATTGCATTTTAGGTTGTGCACTTTGGAATGCACTTCACAGTTAGGTTGTGTACAATTTTGAATGTATGTGTAAAGTTTCGAGTACACATTGCATTAAGGTTGTGTACAATTTTGAATACATATTGTAGAGAGGTTGAGTACAATTTTGAATGTACATCACAGTAAGGTTATTTAAAGGTTTGAATACACATCACATTAAAATTGTGTACAATTTTTTTACTGAGCACAATTTTGAATACACATTGCATTTAGTCTGTGCACAATTTTGAGAACACATGACAGAAATGGTTGTGTACAATTTTGATTAAAAATAGCAGTAAGGTTATGTACAAGTTCAAATACAAAACACAGAAAGGTCGTGTACAGTTCGGAATACACATGACAGTCAGGTTGTGTACAAGTTTGAATACAAATCCCAGTTAGGTTGTGTACAATTTTGATAACACATTGCAGTAAGGTTCCATCTGTGTCCTGATTTCTTGAAATCAAGGACATTGATGCAAATGCATGATGATGTCTGCTATGATGACAAGGACGAACCAAAATGAAAAGATAATATAATTGACTACTTGACAAATATCCATGGGGAAAAAGACTGAACAATTTTATGCATCTAAAGAAGAGCATTTTAAAATTTGGTGATCTCATTGTCCTTTGTCTGTTTGACATACACTCCATCTCCATAACCAGTGAGTGGTGGTGTGGCTGAGTGGTTAACGCGTCAGACTAGTAATCTTAGGATTGCTGACTGTGTGAGGGGCAAGCCTTTGTTTCCTTGAGCAAGAAACTTTACATTCATTGCTTAGTACTGGTTGGTTCCAGGAACGGATCCGAAAGTGTTTTAATAAGCTTATAGCTTCAAGCACAAACTTAAATATATTTGTATAAATATATAAAATAAAATAAACCACTGGTCTGATTTGAATGAAACCTTCAATCAAATGAAGTTGTGCGTATCATTTGCATGGTTCATTTAACTTGCGACTTTAATAGCCGTTTGAATTTTCCTTCATAATGGTCTGTAGTGGTGCAATTTACAACTGCTTTAAAGCTACTGTTTTGAATGAAACCTTCATTTAAGTGATTGTCACCAAGCTGTTGTCTATCCATTACAATCTTCTTTTTTTTGACAATTTTACATGATTCATGTGCAGAATGAATCTTGATATACTGGTAACATTTGACTAAACTTCAAACAAATTACCTTTCATAGGTTCAATTCAATACAATTCTTTTGTGGGGAAAAAGCAAAAACAAAAAAAACCCACTCCATACCCCCAAAAAACAACAACAAAAACAAGTTAGATAACTTTATATTCAAAGAAATATTTAATAAAGAAAGTGATAGGACAGTCAAATTGAATACAAACTTTGATATCCAACCTGAGTTCGGTTTCAAAATAATCTCATTTCGGCTAGTTTAGTTGTAAAGTAGTAGAAATAAATACCTGTTGATGTTATATTACAATAAACTTAATATAATTTCTGAAGGAAAAAAAACCCTTAAAATTTAAGGGGACTGAACAACTCAAGGACACCCCTTGTCATATGGAATAAAAGTAGTGGATTTGACCTGTTTTCAAATTTTCAGTGATTTCAATAACAACAAGAAGTATCTTTAAAAAGATACTCGGCCGAAGTCAAACTTGTTAACTTGCATAGGATAAGCTACTACTAACCATGCTAACCGCAAACAGAACATTTTATTCGTCCTCAATAGTTTTATTTCAGTTCATTTTTACCCGCAATGTTTTCCCCATTAATTGTCATCTTAGATTTAAACAATATTACTTACATTATTTGATTTTAATCAAAATGGAATTTGATTTGAATAGGAATTTATAATAAAACAAAGATTTAGTAGATATTGTACACTAATTCCACAGAGAATTTAGCAACTGTAAATTAGTCGAAAGTTCGTTTCAATCGTCTTATGCCCTGTTCGGTAAGAGAATATAGTATTGATCAGTAAGTAAATAAGAATAATCAATTTTTCACAATTACCGAATACATTTCACGCCAATTGTGAGACGAACCCTCAATGACGTCTGCATGGGCGCCGCCATTTTGAAATGAACGTCACGTCAAGTTACAACGTAAATCAACGGGAAAAATATAATTTTGACCATATTACTGACTTTATGAAAAACATGCCTCGAGATATTGACGTCAGGGTTAACATGACATTAATTTAAATGATTTTACTATTATATTTAATAAAAAATGAAATATTCAAATTTGGTGGGACAGACTATAGTGCATGTGCATGATATTATCTGTGAAATACAACGAATGTAAATAATGTTTTTTGTTTTTGTTTTTTACCCTTATAGCAAGATTTTTCCTAAAAGGAAACAGATTGAATTGGCGTGTCTCCTTTTAACAAGCTATTGGCAATATCTAAATTTTGATTGTATTTAGTATCATAATGCCTTTTCCGGTATTTTTCATTGTTTGTGTAATGTTGTCTATATTGTAACCCCTTCAGCAAGGACTCGTATATAAACAATAATCTAACAATACATTTATTAAAAACGTTTGGATGTAAATATATAGCCATTAGATTACAATTACTCCACAGTAACACTCACATAGTCAACATTACTCAAAAGCACTAAAACAGTCAACACTACACACAGAGCATTAGAACCATTTCTCATAATATAAAGTTAATATGATCACGTATTTTGAAATTTTCCCATCAAGTTATCGGCGATGTTTCTAAACGCACTCAAGGCAACAAAAATAATACGCCTTGGACTTATTTACTAAATGCTTTAATGGCAAAATTGTAGATTTTTTTATTGTAATCGTCAGCGGAATAAACATTGTTTCCGTTCTTATATTTACGAACTGATGGTTTTTGGACAATGATGTCGATAATGTAATATTGGTCTATGTTATCGGCATTGTCATTTTGTCTGGTTTATTCGAAGAACACAGATCTTGTTGATGAACCAGTTCAATATCAAAATTGTTATAACGCTGTGAAACAGGTACTACTATAGGAGAAAAAGAAATACAAACACATATTTTCTAGTTATCTAAAATATATTTAACTAGATTTTTTTTTCATTTTCAACTTTGATTAAAAAAACCCATTTTGAAAGGGGAAAAAAAACAACAAATAAAAACCCATATGAAATGGGAAAATAATAACAAATAAAAACCCATTTGAAATGAAAACACAATGATGTCAAATGGGAAAAAGAAGCTTTTCATTCCCTTTCCAAACTTGATGTCTTGATCTGGAAAAAAAAGTTTTATGTTATGAACTTTATATTACTTTTTACTACCTATAAACTGCAGTATGGCTGCAAACAGTGTGTATTTAAAGAATATAATTTTCCGAATATAATTTAGTCTTCTTACGACATAATACGAAACTCCATGTTACAGTTTAGCTACTCCATGTTATAAATGAATGACTCCGTGTTATAAAATGCGCATTGTAATATCCAGACACTGGTATTCATATCATTGTCAGTTTCAAACGCCCATTATTGTATTTGTTTATTTCTTTTTAGTCCCCTACCGGTTTACCGGAGGGGACTTTAGGTTTACCCTCCGTCCGTCTGTCCGTCCGTCCGTCCGTCAGTCCGTCCGTCAGTCCGTCCGTCCACAAAACTGGATCCCGCGATAACGCAAAAAGTACTGAAAATATTTTAATGAAACTTGATATATGGATAGATGGCAGTATGGAGATTATGCACGTCTTTTTCTTTTCTTCCTATGTTGAAAATTCTGGTTGCTATGGCAACAAATAGACTGAAAATATGGCAAATTTTACACATAACCTGGATCCCGCGATAACGCAAAAAGTACTGAAAATATTTTTATGAAACTTGATATATGGATAGATGGCAGTATGGAGATTATGCACATCTTTTTCTTTTCTTCCTATGTTGAAAATTCTGGTTGCTATGGCAACAAATAGACTGAAAACATGGCAAATTTTACACATAACCTGGATCCAGTGATAACACAAAAAGTACTGAAAATATGTTTATGAAACTTGACATATGGGTAGATGGCAGTATGGAAATTATGCACATCCTTTTTTATCTTCCTATGTTGAAAATTCTGGTTGCTATGGCAACAAATAGACTGAATTTCAAGATTTCTGATTCTAGTTTTTAAGTTTTTTCACTATAAGTTCTTTATTTCTTAAGGTATTTTCTTCAAACTTTAAATATAAGTTGCTTGTCATCAACCACATCATATGTGACAAGGTTTACAACTCTAGCACAAAATTTATCAGAATTACCTCCCTTGAACTTAAAATTTTCATGAAAAAAACATTTTTTTTTTAATAACTTCTTTTTCTGAATGTATCTACTTCTTTTTCTGAATGTATCTACTTCAAACTTCATATAAATGTTTCTTATTGTCACTCAACATTTGTGAGTGTTCAATACTCTAGCAAGACTACTTCCAGAATTATGCCCCTTTTGAACTTAGACTTTTTTTTGAGAAATTGGTAATTTTTACTCCAACTTCTTCAATCATGATAGGATTTTAAAAATGTTATATTTTGATAACAGGGATGTTTAAAAAATAACTTTAGAGTGTCCTTCAGTCCGTCTGTCTGTACATAAAAACTGTTTCCTGTGATCACTTTTAAAGAACTTTTTCAACAAATTTACTTAAAATACGAACCTAAGTGAATGGCCAATGGCCCTTCAGAATGTTGCTTGGGCTCTTACCGGTAGGGGACTTATGGATTGCTTGCAATACTATGATAATTGCTTGTTTAAATAGCCACACTCTTTTAAGTTCAAACTGTCTTTATCTTTAAATGAGAGAATACAAAAAGGAACCTAATCATAAATCAAACAAACCTTTCTCTTTAAGTCTTGTTTGTTAATTCTGTTGTTGACATATTCAGGTTTCTCAATCCATTTTTTCTCACATGGTATGTTCTGAAATACATAAATGTTTAAAGAAAGATATTCTCACATATTTTACCATTGTTTTATGTGTGTGATTATTTTGAAATACTACAATAGATATGCCGATACGATTTAAAGTCAACCTCGGTTATTGCGTTCTTGTCGGGACCATTTTTTGAATGCAATATCCGAGGTTTCTTATAACCAATATAAATGATATTGTGCGTAGCATGCGCACCAACTAGACAAAATAAATCGCTTTTTGATTATCTTATAATCATGTCATAGCTTTACACATAGTTCTCAAATTCAATATTGAATTAAATAATTGGATATAACAATTATTATATATCAAATAAACGAATTGAATTATAGCTTACATAAAAAAGTACAGATACTTACCGATGCATGAATAAACTTGTATGAACGGCATGCTTGTTTGTATACTTGTGCGGCAAGTTTGTTTACTTCTGTATTACTGTTGGGAAAAAAACATTTTTTTTAATAATGAATATTGTGTAAATTTCTTGCAGTCAAAGAATTACAAAAATGTGGTCAGAATTTTTATACAATGTTCTAAAGAATTATAACATGATAAAATAAGGAACAGTAAATATTGCATTAAATTACGACAAAAATAAAAACAAGTCATAATTGATTAATGAACAAATGGATCGATCGATCAATCAATCAATCAATCAATCAATCAATCAATCAATCAATCAATCAATCCTGAATTCAATGTATCGTGCGAAAGGTTTAATCAACTTAATTGCATGTATCATAAAATATCCAACAAATTATTCTCTTCCAAATAAATTGTATAATCAAGAAAATAGCTTACCTCAGATTTTGTCTGTTTTTGTTCATCAACGTTCTGATTGTATCAGTAAGCATCTCAACTACATCAAGTTCAAGGTCGTTTGACATCTGTAAAATAGATATGTTACAATACAATTTACAAACCGTAATTTACAAAGCAAAAATTAAGTGAAAGTCCATCCTTTAAGATATAATATAAAACCGCTATGACAGTAGACCACACATGGGCGATAATAATAATTATGATATTGAAAAGAATAATAATAATTATCATCATATTTATAAGATGTTTGAATATGAGTACATTATATATATGTTTGTACAATATAGACATGGTGTAAGTTGACTCGAAAGTTTCAAAAACACGCACTTGAATTGTACTACCAATTTAATGTAACTTTAATATAATTATATAAAATACTGTACTGTATGGTATGCGTTAACCTACCTTTTGAATTTTCTCTCGCAAACTTATCTCAGCTAAGAACTTTTTCTCAAAAGCAATATGGTCTTTCTCGTGCTTGACCATCCATTTATTATGTACGAATTCCATATCCTGTAAAAAATAAACCAACATTATCGTCAAATAACAGTTACTGTATATAAAACTTATATATAAAACTCAATAATTCGTGAACAGTATTTTTCAAGATGCCATTATGAATGGAAACAAGTATGCATGAACACATTTTGTACATATTGATGTATCTATCATTTGTTGTACATTGTTTATCTACTGACCTATAGCAACTTATACATAGATATCTTAATCTGCATGTATATTTGATTTTTTTACAATATAAGGTATTCACCAAAAATGAAAATGTATAATTGTAAGTAGATGAAAACAGTTCACAGCTTTAACAACAACAACAACATCATCAACAACAACAACAACAATAACAAACAAACAAAAATCTCTGGTAATAATTGTTAAAAGATTTTATCTTTAGTCAGTAATATGGACAATAAAAGCAGTCAAAAGCCATATACCTCAATTGCTGCCTCTCTGACTTTAGCCTCGTTCTGATTGTAACGTAATGAAGATCTCTGTGTTTCTAAAATCAACTCATACTTTTGCAGCTTTGCCTTTGACTTCCAACAATTCTGTAAATCAGGGATAGTTTATATAAATCTAAGAAACCATTAATGTTTTGTAAAATGGTGCATTAATCAATTATATTAAAATACAATACCATGCAACAGAATACAATTAAAACTGATATTTTGTTCATAGCTTTGCAAATAAAAAATCAATTAATTTACAAACTATGGTATATTAACATGATTATACTGATTTCTAAATTAACTATTCAAATATGATATGAATGGTATAATCACGTTGCAATGTTTTGTTTTTTTAGAGCGTTCCTTAGTTAAGATAAAACTTACCATTCTAGCTTCTCTCAATGCAAGCAGGGCTGTTTCATGTTTCTTAATGAAGTGTACCAGCGTTCTTTTGCGTTCTTTTAAAACTAGGTGTGTCTCAGAGGAAAACCTATATTGGCAGACAAAAATGTTAATATAAAGTCAATAAGAAGTACTAAAATGTATCACTTACTGCAAGTTATAGTATAAACGTAATTCAATTTGTATCATTTATTGTGAGCACAAACACCTCAGACATTTTAACAACGATCGTTTATTGCAGCTATACAATTTAACTTTCATCATATTTTGCGAGCACATGAAAAATATGTTATTTCTTTTATACCCACTGAAAAACAGGTTATTATTAAAACATATAAATTTTACATTGTATTTTCATTGCATTTTTGTATTTGTTGCACTGTTTTGTATTTTGGACCGGATGCCTATGTTACAAGAATAAACTTTATGTTATGTTGTAAAATCTTACAGGGTATCAAAATCTTCATCAGTACTAATGATATCATAATCTTGTCTAGAATATTTCAGAACAGAGTTTCTCAATGTTCGCAGGAAAGTGGTTAGTCTGTTTTCTAGAGAAAGAGACAGATAGAAAGAAAAAGATAGAAACAATAAAAAGAAGTAAGAAAGAACTTAGAAAGAAGTATACAAAAGAAGCCTAAGTAGAAACGATGCACGCCGAAATAATATATATCTGTAGACAAAAGCAAATTGAAATGACGGGTGTTGAAAATAAGCACAGTGTATCTTAATTTTAAGGCCGTTCGTGGGTTCACTTCACAACACAGAAGAAATTTTCTTGTTTTAATAATCCGCAGTTCATAATGGTTTGATTACTGATTTAGAAAGAAAAAGAAAAAAAATTGGAGAAGTTTTCTAACAAGACGAAAATGATAAGATAAAACTAAACGTAAAAGAACTCAAACTAAACGAAAAGGAACGACAAACAAGACATGTTTAATGATAAAGGTGAACTATTCTAAGCACTTAAAATATTCTTCATTTAAGAAAATCACAAACCTTGCTTAACTTTCACTGCCTGGAAAATCGGAACTGTAATGGGAACGTATCCGGTAAATACAGATAAACTGTCAAGACTGGAAAATCTGTAATAAATAAATAAATAAATGAAAAAGGATGACTAATGAATGAAATAAATTAAAACCTAATCAATAGATACATAGATATTTGTGGCTTGATGATATGATTGCACAGGAATTGTTAGTTTGTTTATCTTATGCCAGATCTATTTGCACTTGAGATTTCTTTCTTTCTTTTCTTACGAACCTATGGTGAATTAATTGAAATTTCACTTACATTCCTCCATCTTGGGTCAGCATAGATATTTTCGGTATAAAAACTTCCTCCATAACTGTCGATAATCGTTAAATATCGCTGAAAACTGCTAAGTGAATAAATTCGCTTTGCTATTGCTTTGGCGTCAATGACAATGTCGCGTAGAAACAACGTCAACGTCATGCGTAAATCACGACGTCAAATCTCGTTTAACGTGATCACGGTATTTAAGTTTTATACATTCACTTCCTGTTTCTATAAAAAGATGGTTTATAATGTGATGAAATATCGATTTTCAACAATTTATTTATTCGTCTGATGCGGCATTAAAGTAAACGTCACAGTATAAATACGTGAACGTTGAAGACCTAGTGCATGTGCATGATATTATCTGTGAAATACAACGAATGTAAATAATGTTTTTTGTTTTTTGATTTTTACCCTTAAAGCAAGATTTTTCCTGAAAGGAAACATATTGAATCAGCGTGTCTCCTTTTAACAAGCTATTGGCAATATTTAGATTTTGATTGTATTTAGTATCATAATGCCTTTTCTGGTATTTTTCATTGTGTAATGTTGTCTATAGGTAACTTCAGCAAGGATTAGTATATAAGCAATAATCTAACAATACATTTATTAAAAACGTTTGGATGTAAATATATAGCCATTAGATTACAATTACTCCACAGCACCACTCACATAGTCAACATTACTCCATAGCACCACTCACGTAGTCCACATTAATCCACAACATCAATAACATAGTCAACATAACTGCACTGCACCACTCACATAGTCAACATTATTCACATAACGCTACTCACATAGTCAACACAACTCCATAGCACAACTCACGTAGTCCACATTAATCCACAACATCAATAACATAGTCAACATTACTCCACAGTACCACTCACATAGTCAACATTACTAACGTTACACAGTCAACATTACTCCCATAACACTTCTTGCACAGTCATAAGAAAACAGATTTTAATATTTATTATTAACGTTAATATTTAGGAAATTTCGTTTTAACTTGTTTTTAAGCATAAAATAAATTGAAAATTTGTTTGTTTGAACATTGTGTAGGATGTAGATCTAATTTTATTTCCTCTCGTGAACTTTAAAAACAGTAAATCTATTCTCACTCGTGCCGTCGTGGCTACGCCACTCGTGAGACTACTGTTTTTAAAGCCCACTCGATGAAATAAAATTTCTTCTTACACACAAACAAACAAATATCCTCTATATAAACTCCACGACAAATTCGCATTCTGAAGATCCATTCATTACCAGTTTCTATCCAGTTCCGTAGATCCCATTTTTTTACTTTGAAACTCCTGAATGGCATGACTCTTACACTTATGATGATCCAGATTTTTTAAACTTTTTATCCGTCTCATTATTAAAACATATTGTTCCATTTGTGCAGTTATCTGGGTTAGCAAATGAAATATGTATATGAAACACATCATTGTTAAATATGTTCCAAATCCATAATTCAAGAACAGTCCATCAATCTTAGTTGTCACAATGTTTATAACTCGTCTTCACGAAAAAAACATTATATTACGTAAACAACAATTTACGAAATATATGACGTAACAAAAATGCCTCGCGCTTATAATGGATGATTCCAGTGCGGCATTGACAGAGGGCGGTTAGGCATATGTAACGTCATACAGATAATTTAAAGCGTTGTGATGGTATTTAAAATAATTCTTGTATACCCAAATTTTGCAGTAATTGTTAAAATTACACCTTCAATTCATATATTAACAACAAAACTTTTGATAACATTTAAATAATTTTAAACACACTCAATGACATGAATCTATATGACAGTACAATATTTCTTCCATTAATTCACATATAACCTTCGTTTTCATTTTTTTAACTATTTTATAGAAATTATATTTCTCAGAAATGATTTCCCTACATATTATCTCGTTACTCCTGAAGGACTTCTGTAATTCCTTCTCTTTTAGCTATAAAATATATACAATATACGGTATTTTTTCTTCCGCGAAAAATATAGCTATTGTTTTGTCACTGAATATTTTAAAATTTTAGGGAGGTTAAAATTATTGAGGACGTCACTCGGTGTTTCTTTTTGACTCGATCTCCCCTTAGTATAAACATAATGTGGAACACTTCGAGTCTACAAAGAAAACGTATTGTCCCTTATTGAACGCTCCAATTCAAACTTATTCTTAATAATATCAAATCACTGCCGGTATTTCTGGACATTTTGTTAAATTGTGAGACGGAAAGTTAGATCTGTATTTACGAGCTTAAAGTGATAGGCCTTCGTTTAGTTGCTCAAACTAGAAAGCATGATATTATATTCTTATAATTTACATTTTTACTCGCACGTGAGCATTAGCGAGGGAGCTAGTTAAAGTAGACATTGTGGTTTCTAGCAAACCAATGCTGAATATATAGTGAATCAGTTCCCCTTTCTATATATTTCTTGTCAGATTTGCAGTATGATAATGTATTTACAAAAATTTACACAAGAACCAAATTTCTAGATATTGACCTTTTTGCTCCTGGAAGCCTGATCCAGGAGCCAAGTATGTAGATGCATTTACATTAGACTGGAGTAGTTTTTCATGTTGTTTTATTTTCCCACCTTTCAGTTTACTGGGACGCTGTATTCAAAAGATCACCGTAGATATGGCAAGTTGCATAGTAATTGCTCCACTGCGGCCAACACAGGCATGGTTTACAACGCTGATGAAATTGTTAATACAGGAACCGTTGATTCTTCCATCACAGAACAATCTTCTTTCACTCCCAAAAGGGGAAAAAGTACATCCATTATTGGGGAAAATGGTTTTAATAGCTTGTCTTGTGTCGGAAAAGTCTTCAGAAACCATGGCTTTTCTTCAGAAGCAACCAAAATTATCATGTTTTCATGGAAAACTGGTACTAAAAGACAATATCAAACGTATATATCAAGATGGCTACAGTATTGTTGTGAACGACATATTAGTTCAATTTCAGTTACTGTAGTTGATGTTATCGTGTTTTTTTCACAAGTTTGTTTCAAAGCGGTTTGGGATATAGTACATTAAATACAGCACGAGGCGCTTTATCAGCTTTAGGACTTGTCATAGATAACCATCATGTTGGATCACATCCAGATGTTATAAGATTCATGAAGGGAGTTTTTAATATACGACCAACAAGGTCAAAGTACATCAGTACTTGGGATATCAACATTGTGTTAGTATTTCTACGCAAGTTGAGTCCAGTGAAACATTTGTCTTTGAAAGATCTTACTATGAAACTTATCATGCTTATAGCAATTACGAATGCAGCTAGAGCTCAGACTATACATTTGTTATCAGTTAATAACATGAAAAAGTTCAGTCCACAGTTTGTTTTTAAAGTTGATGCGTTGTTAAAACTGAGACGGCCGGGAGCTGGATTTTCAACTTTTGTTCTTAAAGCATATCCTCCAGATAAAGATGATACTAATTCAGATATAGATAAATGTTGCTTAAACAAATAACAAAGCTCCCATAGAAAATGTTACATTTGTGTGAGAAAGGGTTATACTTTCTTTTCTTTCAAGAACACTTCTTAACCCTGAGTCTGCTAACATCTACATTTCTTTAAGAAATAGAGCGACATATAAAGATCAATTGTCCTTCCTTTCATATAAAAGTTGATTTTTGTTGATTTCTTCGTCCAGAAGAATTCACATAACTGGACACAATTAACTTAAGTAGAATCCGTTGTATTGCCACTAAACGTTCATGATTTGACCTTTCTCCGTAGTTGAACTTTTCTTTATTCGATGTCAATACATTGGGTTAGTTTGATTGTCCAGTTGAAACATACACGACGCTGGACAAAATGGTTTTATTTGTCTGTTAAAATACATACACAGAATGTAAATGAAATCAAACGAGTAGAAAGATGAAACTGTACTGAAATGGCCCGTGAATTATGCGACATTGGGCAAGCCCGAATGCAGAATTTTGCATTTGTTCTGAAAACTGACAATCTTCGTTTTCAGATGATACATTTCATTTAATCACCGTTGCTTTACTATAGTAACAGTGACTTTTGTTGCACAAGTTGTTGAGCCAGTTCTTAGCGTACATAGGAAGTAAGTAAAGACCATCACGACCATTGTGCATTCTAAACTAAGTGATGTTTCGGGGAAAAAAATAAGGATACTGTCGTATCTGAATGATAAGTTAACCACACAAGAAAGAACAATGAATAGCACTATTACGTGCAGCAAAATTTTGCAGACGACACATTTGTGTCATATGTGTTTCGCAAGTTTAAATTTTTCAAATGTAATTTGAGATCAAGATTTGCATGATACGTCTATTTCTGCGAGTTATATTTATAGCAACATAATGAGAATTGAATGGCACACTTTCGGGAACTTGCAGACGACATATTTGAATCATATGTGTTTCGCGAGTTAATGTTATTCAAATGTTGTTTAAGATCAAGATGTGATTGATTTGTCTGTTTCTGCTGCGAGATATGTGAATAACAGCAGAATGAAAATTGAATGGCACATGTACAGAAATTTTGCAGACGACAATTAATGTGATATATGTTTCGCGAGTTTATGCAGACAAGATGTGAAAGATTCGGTTGTTTTTGCAACATATGTATAATCACAAAAATAACAATAGTTTAAATTCATCATCATCATCATTATCATCACCATGTATTTTAGAACAGTCTCCTCAACGAAAGTTGTTCATGTATTTTCTCTCTCCGTTTTTTGCTAAATGTATGAGGTGTTTTCTATTGTAACGTTTCGTTTTCTTCTAAGAAGTGAAGAATCAAACTGACCAATGGATTTCTTATTACTTTATGAGCAAGCGCCCAGAACACATTACTCGAATTTTTTCAGGGTATTTTTGAATATGTTTAGGATGTATACATAGCATTTTCATTGTCTTCAGCGTATCTAACGGGCCACATTTATGAAGGAAATCTAGCTCTACTTGAGTGGTCGTTTGTATTTACTTTTTCAGGAAGCTAAACGTAATCTTACTATTTAATGAATTTAGTCTTGCTTTACTACATTGTTTCAACAATATTAATAGTCAGCTTAAAGCGCACGAAAGCATAGGAAGAAATTATAGTAAAGTTTTGAAAATATTACACTGTCCTTCAGTTATAACAGTTCAGAAAGAAACAGGATTATCTCCCGTCGACCATTTTCATTGCTTAATCGAACAGCAAAAGAGTTATTACGTCTCTTTGGGGCATTGCTTTCTCAACATTTGCGCATTTACGTGTACACGTCAGTCCGTTGCTGTTATACTTTATTTAAAATAATGAATGCATACGTTACATCTATCGAAACGACGAAAACGTTTAACGTTTTTTAATGATTACAAACATAATAGCACACGTTAATTTAACACGAAATACGACCG